ATGAAAAACACCCCGTCCCCGCTCTCGCACTGCACCGAATCTCGGTCAACCGCCATCAGAATCGGCGCCAGCAGCTCGTGCATTCCTTGCCGGTACTTTAGGCTGCTATGCAGCTTGGAGTAGACAAACAAAATGTCTGCCAAAAGTCTCTGCACGCGAGCCGAGCGGAAATACACCTCTTCAGGGAACGTCCGCGCCACGTCCTGCATAATCGTCGTCCGCAGCTCCTGGTCCTGGTGGTACTGGAACCACGGACTATCTTCGTCCAATGACAAAGGATTCATGCGCTTCCAGTCCACCGCCTCCTCTTCACACAAAGCTCCTGGGTTTACTACAAACTGCCGTCTTAGCGCCTCGTAGTTGCTGCGCTCCTTTGACGCCGCTACTACCCAAGCCCGTCGACATTCCTCGTCTTCTTCTCCGAAATGCTCTATTGCCAAAACTCCCAAGTACAGCCGCCACCGCAACGAGAGCAACGGAAGCTTGCCTTCGCTTTGTGTTGTCGAATACGTCAGGGCTCGTAAATGCACTGGCGACATTAGTGCCCGCCGTTTCAGCTCCGACCACTCTTTGCGAATCGTGTCCATTCAATTAAAACAAAAAAGAACGAAAAATAGAAAGAAAAAATACTATAAAAGAAGAAAGAATAGCAATCACGTTGATCACTTGTCTGTTCCTCTCATCCGCCCACCAGTCAGCAAGCGATCTGAATATGGCTGAAATCTGATCGAGACAATGGTCTGCCTCAACTGCTCCGTGAATGCGTTGACACATGAGATAAATAGATATAAAAACTTATTTTGGCTCCAGCGGCCCACTCATGAGATCAAGTATTATACTTACAACCCCTTTTATCAGCAATATTCGCAATGATGCCGTTTACACACACAGGCTAATACCAGGTAGTGATGGGAAAACACGATCATTGTTAGCTAACAAGCTGGTCAAAAAACAAGTCCGCGGCCAATCCTATTACAATACTAGAGCTGACAGAGTCACAAGTTTAGTACTTTGCTTATACCCAACAACATGAGCTAGCTCAAAAAGCCGTTCTTCTCTGTTTGTATAGTGGCTAGTACGTCAGCCTGTCACGCTGGAGACCCGGGTTCAATTCCCGGACAGAGAGCACATTTTTTGCCCTTTTTTGCTTTACTTTGTGTTTATGGATCTCCCTGCCGATAACACGGACAAATGCACATCCAGGCCAAGTGAACGCTATTTGTATTTTTCTTTGTTTTTTGCATGTGCCACATAGTCTGCTATCTTGCTGGAATAAGCAAAGCCAGCTATTGCCAATGAAGAGGTGATATTGTGCAACGAGGTGCCTTTCAGCTGGTATTTACACGCTATAACGTAATCTCCTATGTTTGACACAATTCAAGCGTAGAGTAGATTGGCAAGCTAGCTCCAAAGATATACTATTCCAACACATACATTGTATTACTTATATCTAGCCATTATATCTCATTCTGTTGAACAAGGTGCGTTTAAACTGCTGGAGATCGGAAGAAAACTATAATGCGTGCACCGCCGACGAGTCGCCGAAGCTGCTGGTGGAGCTGGCAGATGGCCGGGTCTCGCGACTAAAGGAGCTGCTGCCGGCCATTCTCGCGCACCTGTGCAGCGATCACGGCAGTCTCGACTCGGCGGCGCTCTTGCGGCAAGGCGCGTTCCTACGCGAGCTTTGCCATGCAATCTGTGAGGCGGCCGACATTGGCGAGTGGCTGCTTCAGCGGC